TCCTTCCTTCCTTCCTTCCTTCCTTCCTTCCTTCCTTCCTTCCTTCCCCCTCTCCCTCCCGTCTTTCTTCTTTCCTCCTTCCTCCTTCCCTCCCTCCTTCCCTCCCTCTCACCTTCCTTCTTTCCACCTTCCTTCCTTCCTTCCCTCCTTCCTTCTCTCCCTCCTCCTCCTCTTTAAGATGGGTGGACTTCAACTCCCAGAATTCTGAGAGTTGATCCCACACATCTTAAAGTCACTGAGACCGAAAAACATTGCAGTAGTTAAGGGTGATATGTGAAGAGTTAAAGAAAGGCAAAAAATCACAACATATAAAAGAATACAAGTTTTGCAGTAACAGGGGATAGAAACAAAGCGAAAGGTTGGGAAAATGGGGCAAAATACTTAACTGTCTTGCTTAGTAGTGGAAATTTTGGGACTCATTTGTGCTTGTAAGTCGAGAACTACCTGTAGACCGTGTCTTGAAACTAACATTGGATAGAGGACATCCTGGAAGGATACACACATCTGAAGGAAAACCAACAAAAAGTTGGATTTTTAAGCCCTGTCCAAATCAAAATATTTTATGTCTGGCCATTTTCCCTCTTTCCTCAGCATTCTTGTCAGTCGAGAACACAGGGAGAAAAGGATGCAAAATTGTTGGCATTCCTAGCAGAGCTGAGAATTTGCAGGAAATTGTGAGTCTAGCCATCCGTGGAATTTTCTTCTCACAGCTTCCACCCACATCAAGAGAAGCTTTAGACACGGCCGTTCTTGACCAAGATGAAAAAATAGCCCAGCCAACAAAACACAACATTGCCTCTTTGGGATGATAATTTTTTAAAATCCCAAAATGATTTTTCTAAAGCAATTGGACTCTGTTTTTCCTTCTTTGTTTAAATTGGTTTCTCATACAAAATACAAAAATCCGAAAGCAAATAGTTGGAAAAATAAGGGGGAAAGGAGAAGGGTACACAAGAAGGGAGAAATGCGGAAAAAAAACACCACCCCAAAATGTGTTGACTTCCAACTCCCTGCTGGTGTAGTAGAATAAAACAGTAACGTCAAACCTTAACTTTTTATTTTTACGTAATAGTATAAACAAGCCATTTCTATAACAATAAATCTATCTAGTTGGTAAAATCCAAAATCCAAATTTCATTTTTTGCCCACCTCTGTTTTTTCTTGAAGACGTTTCGCTTCTCATCCAAGAAGCTTCTTTAGTTCAGGTTGAATGATGGAAGATGGAAGGATTTATATTCCTTGCAGTCATCTGGTTGTTAGTACTCTCTCTGAGAGTTGTTGAGGCCACTTGGAGGTTTAGCTTTGCCTTCAGGTTTCACCTGAGTAATGCAAACGGGTATGGAGCCTTCTTGGAACTGTTGAAAGGATTGTGTTGTAGTTTCGGGGCAGATGATGTCGCTGTGAGAGGGCCACTCAGTTTTGACCCAGGTGACCTCTTTGACCCAGGGGTGGAATTCAAATGTCTTAACAACTAGTTCTGTGGGCATGGCCTAATTTGCGCGTGTGGCTTGGTGGTCATGTGACTGAGTGGTCATGGCTTGCTGAGTGGGTGTGGCTTGGTGGTCACGTGACTGGGTGGGCATGGCTTGTATATTGTGAATATTTATGTAAATATTGAATTTTTTATTTAAAAAAATAGCAACTTTTACCCAAAATCAGGCAAAGCAGGCAGCCAGATTGAATTGCTCACGGAATCACAGAGTCACTCAGAGATCTACCTTTCTGCAATCTGCTGCCTGAGTCTGTCACATAAAATTTGCTTACAAGCAAACTCATAAAATTTTCTAGGAAGCCAACTCACAAAATTAACTCACAACACACCATGTAGGTAAATATTGAATTTTTTATTTAAAAAAATAGCAACTTTTACCCAAAATCAGTCAAAGCAGGCAGGCAGATTGAGTTGCTTGCAGAATCACAGATTCACTCACAGATCTACTTTTCTGCAATCTGCTGCCTGAGCCTGCACTGAAAAAATAGAAGTTTCAGTCCTAAAGAAGGTTCAGCTCTGCTCTCAGGCCACTTGTCCCCCCCACACCCCTGACTGGGCCTCAGGGAAGCCTCCTGGGTGAAGGCAAAGCAGTACAATCATCCTGGTTGCTCTTCTCTGCACTTTTTCTAGAGTCTCAACATCTTTTTACAGTGTGGTGACCAAAACGGGGTTCAGGACTCTGGGTGTGGTCTTACTAAGGCTTTATAGAGTGGTATTAGTACCTCCCTGGATCTCGATTGTATCCTTCTGTGAATGAAACTTAGGATTGCATTCGCTTTTAAACAGGCACACTGTTTAATGGATGATGGATTGTTTGTATTAAAAATAAATTTTAAAAATTATTATTTTTTTGGAAAATAAAAGGAGAGAAGCAACCTAGAAATAAGAAAAAAATGTCCTGACAGGGAGAACGATTAACCAGTGGAATTGCTTCCCTCTAGAAGTTGTGAGTGCTCCACCACTGGAGGCGTTGAAGAAGAGATTGGACAGCCGTGTGTCCAGGATAGTGCAGGGTCTCCTGCTTGAGGAGGGACCTTGGAGGTCCTCTAGTCCAAACCTATTGTTCTATGTACTAACCAGCCCAAAGAGATTTATCAGGAGGAGAGACATCTGGCATACAGTAACAAAAAAAATACTTTGATCTTTTCTCTAGGCCCTGAGGGAGTCTCAGTGGCTCATCTCCAACCTAAGGCTCTGACATCTTGAAAAGCGTATGCATTTATTCATTTATTGCATGCTCTGCGGAGATATTTTTTAATTTTTTCTTTCTTGTGGAGTAGCTGAAGGGAAATAGGACCGATGTTTCCTCTCACATTTGAGGTAATCTCCCTCCAACTTTTCTTGCGCTGTCCAAGACGACCGCCGATATAAAGTGGGGTTTTATTTAACCCTTGGTATGTTTGAGAGAGAGAGAGAGAGAGAGAGAGAAGGAGGGAGGGAAGATAAAACTGCTTTTCTAGAGACACGGAGAATGAGAAAAATAATTACAGGTAGGCTCAACTTAATGATCGCAATTGAGCCAAAATTTATGTTGCTAAGTGAGACACTGGTTAAGTGAATTTTGCCCTGTTTTATAATCTTCCTTGCCACTGTTGTTAAGTGAATCACTGCAGTTGTTAAGTGTGATGACTCGGAGTGTAACACAAACATAACAAAATCTAAAAGGTAAATAAATGTCCTTTAATGCCTCCAATTTGGCCACACTGTTCAATAATTCTCAGTTGGAGATAAAACGTATTCAAAAATAGTCTTCAAAAGAAAGCACTTAATCCGAACTTAATGAGGAGATAGAGGTGAAATAACAAATTAAAACAAACTACAATGAAGGAATTTCCACAACAGACCAAGATAAGTAATTACCGACTTCAAGGAGATAACAAGGCACAGTCTGTTGGAAGGATGCCAACTAAGATAACTTCAGCCCAAAATAACACACACTTTGCTTCTGGCAATGCTGTGTTGTAACTGTCTCTCTTATGTACTATTCTCCCCAGCTGCAACCAATGAGGGGGATCATGGCCGCTTCCTCTCTCATAAGCCAAGTTGTTGCCTTCTCCGTTCCTCCATGCATGTCCTAGGATGGAGAGGGGATGGGCCTGGTTCTTCCTCTGACTGCCCAGCCGGTCTCTGCCCTTCCCCAGCCTCCTCCACAACCTTTGGAGCCACACCTCCACTCCCTGTCAGCTGTTCCTCCTCTCCCTCAGAGTCCGACTCTAACAAGGGCATGACAATAAGGGCAACATGGTTGTTAAGTCAATTTGGATTTCCCGTTGATTTCGCTTGTCTGAAGGTTGCAAAAGGGCATTGTGTGACCGTGGGACGCTGCAACTGTTGTAAATACGTGCCAGTTGCCAAGCATTTGAATTTTGAACATGTGACCATGGGGAGGCTGCAACAGTCGTAAGTGTGAAAAATGGTCCCAAGTCCCCCTTTTTTGGTGCCACTGTAACTTTGAACGGTCCCAAATTGTTGTAAGTCGAAGAATATTTCTATTTCATTGTACACATGTTGTGCATTGACAATAAACATTTGACTGAATATGTCTATTGAATGATCAATAATCATCACTGATATTTAATTGAGGGTCCTGATATTTAGAAGTAATGTTCTTCTGGTAATTTCCCAGCCAAAAACTGAAGGAAAAACAACAACATTGAAATAATAAATTTTGGGCATAATACAGTATGTTTTCCCCAGTTTTAGCCTTGGTCACTCTATTCCTACATTCTATTCTGTTCTGTTCTATTCTATTTTCTATATTTTATATTATATTATTCTATTTTAATTCTATTTTCTATATTTTATATTCTATTGTATTTTCTATAAATTATATTCTATTCTATTCTCTATATTCTTTATTCTGTTCGGCTCTCCTCTTCTATTTTCTATATTTTATATTCTATTCTATTCTACTTTATATAAATTATATTCTATATTCTATTCTAATCTCTATATTCTCTATTCTATTCTGTTTTCCTCTTCCATTTCCTCTTCTATTTTATATATTCTATATTCTATTCTATTCTCTATTCTCTTCTTTTCTTATTTATATTCTATTTATATGCTAGTGTTTTTCAACCTTGGCAACTTTAAGATGTGTGGGACCTCAACTTCCTTGCTGGCTGGGGAATTCTGGGAGTTGAGGTCCACACATCTCAAAGTTGTTGAAGTTGAGAAATGCAGATTTATTTTCTCTAATCTTCCCTACACCCCTCTCAAGGGAGCAGAATAACCTTCCCTGTGCCCTCTCTTTCCACCCCTTAATTAATTGAAGAAATTGTCCAGATTTGTAGCTCAGGAAAAGACAATCAGTCCTGTTCCGAGAAGATTAATTGCAATCATCAGAGCATCTGGCCCTTTGGATGAAATATTTGACAACTTATTGACCTCAGGAGAGAGAAAAAAACTGATTTATTTGAAATTTTGCAATACTCTGCGGCATTGTGGAAGCTCCTTTATAGAGGGGCCACGGGGTTTCATTCCATTTTCCTCTCACTTGAAAAACATGAAGTAAACTTGTTGTTTACCTGTTCTCAAAGAAGATGTTGAACAAGTCTCCACCCAAAAATAAATACATATAAAAATCAGGGGCTTTTTGAGTACAAAGGTACAGATAGGAAAATGTTGGGTTTTTTTGTTTTTTTGCTTGCCTGGGATGTAAAAGTGCAATTGGGAACTGTGTCCCAATTCAGATGTGGTAATGAGACTCAACTGGTAGCAATTATTGACGGATCTCTCCGGCCCCTTGTATATATTTTACGATAATGGGTCATTGTCAGCTTTATTTGAGTTTTACAAGGGCGGGGGGTGGGAGGGGGGAGAAGGAAATCTGAGAAAGCAGGAAACCATTATAAGAAAGCATGTAATGACCTCCGTCCTGTAGCTTTGGAAATGCCCAAGTTTTCCCCCCCCCACTCTCGTTGAGAAATGCAAATGGTTGCAAAATGGTTGCAAGATGGCGGCCATCTTTTGGAACGGTGCATTAGCGGGGGAGAAGTCTTGAACGTCTTCCTTTGAACTTCAAATACAGATCGTCGTTGACATGTGACCATTAGGGTCTAAGTCACAAAGCTGGTCGGTCGTACGACCGTCCTGATTTTATAACCTTTTTGGAAGCCGTTGTTAAGCAGTGGTTGTCAGATTATTTGTAGCACATCTGACCAGCACATAAATAAATAATTCTGCAGGATTCATCTACATAACTTCTTTATATACAATATCATACAGCATATGATATCATACAAATGTTGCCGTGTCTCTTCAAAGAGTCCCCATTGGCTGACCTGTTGCTGTGTCTCTTCAAAGAGTCCCCATTGGCTGACCTGTTGCCGTGTCTCTTCAAAGAGTCCCCATTGGCTGACCTGTTGCCGTGTCTCTTTAAACAGTCCCCATTGGCTGACCTGTTGCCGTATCTCTTCAAACAGTCCCCATTGGCTGACCTGTTGCCGTGTCTCTTCAAACGGTCCCCATTGGCTGACCTGTTGCCATGTCTCTTCAAACGGTCCCCATTGGCTGACCCATTGCCGTGTCTCTTCAAAGAGTCCACATTGGCTGACCTGTTGCCGTGTCTCTTCAAACAGTCCCCATTGGCTGACCTGTTGCCATGTCTATTCCAGCTCATAATTACTTATATACTGACAGTGGTCATAAAACCATGGTTATTAAGTGAATATTGTGGTTATTGAGTGAGCCCATGGTACACTTATGGGACTGGACCTGCAGAAAACCAGAAGCAACAGTGAGTCATCCTCGACTTATGACAATTGAGCCCCAAATTTTTGTTGCTAAGAGAGACAGTTGTTAAGCAAGACAGTCTGTTGGAAGGATGCCAACCAAGATAACTTCAGCCCAAAATAACACACGCTTTGCTTCTGGCAACGCTATGTTGTAACCATCTCTCTTATATACTATTCTCCCCAGCTGCAACCAATGAGGGGGATCATGGCCGCTTCCTCTCTCATAAGCCAAGTTGTTTCCTTCTTCGTTCCGCCCTGTGTTTCCTAGGATGCAGAGGGGATGGGCCTGGTTCTTCCTCTGACTATGCAGCCAGCCTCTGCCCCTCCTCCACAACCACCGGAGCCACTCCCTGTCGGCTGTTCCTCCTCTCCCTCAGAGTCTGACTCTAACAAGGGCATGAGAATCCCTACCTATACTCACTGTACATCACTGTGTATCGTCTGACCCATCCACTCTGATCATTAAGTTCACAGGTGATACTACCGTCTTGGCTCTCGTTGCGGGTGGAGACGAAACAGCGTACAGGGGGGAAGATTCAAAAATTGTCCTCTTGGTGCCTAGAGAACAACCTGCACCTAAACATCAGCAAGACGAAGGAGATGGTGTTAGACTTCTAGAAGAAGACAGGGGAACTCGCGCCACTTTACATCGAGGGGTGGAGAGAGTTTCCTCCTTTAAATTCCTGGGAGTTTACTTCACCGAAGATCTTACCTGGAAGATCAACCCAATCCAGGTGGCCAGAAAGGCCCGACAGAGACTCCATTTCCTCTGGGTCTTGCAAAAGAATAAAGTGGAACAACAACTGATAACCTCCTTTTACCGGTCCACAATAGAAAGCGTCCTCTCATATTGCATGACGGCGTGGTATGCTGGCTTGACAGCCGCGGATAGAAAGTCACTACAGAGGTGGCGAGCACAGCACAAAACATCGTGGGCTGTTCCCTGATACCACTAGATGACCTTGCTAGGGCTAACTGCCTTAGAAGAGTGAGGAAAATCCTCAGGGACAACTCACATCCCGGTCAGCACTTCTTCACTCTCCTACCGGAGGGAAGGAAATATAGAAGCATAGCCAACTGCACCAACAGGCCAAAGAACGGTTTCTACCTGTGGGCTGTCAGACTCCTGAACGGAAAATAACTCACGTCAAACATTGTATGACAGACTTGCAGGGCCGGTGCATTGGGCAACAAGGTCACATAGTGTAATAAGATTGGGACAGGGTTACGGACTTCTGTCCTCGCTGTGAGTTGTGTTGGTGTGTGTGTGCACGAAGGGAGGCTCAGTCAATTTCATTGAACACATGTTGTACTCTGACAATAGAGGTAATAATAATAAAGTAATAATAACTTTATGCAGTATATAAGTCTATGGGCTATTACAATGGGAGAGAGGGAGGAAAGAAGGAAGGAAAGAACGGAGGGAGGGAGGGAGCTGTGGTAGCATAGGGGTCAGAATGCAGTACTGCAGGCTAACTCACTTCTCACTGTCAGGAGTTCGATCCTGACCAGCTGAAGGTTGACTCAGCCTTCCATCCTTCCAAGGTGGGTAAAATGAGGACCCAGATTGTTGGGGGCAAGAGGCTGACTCTGTAAACACTTAGAGAGGGCTGTAAAAAGATTGGTAAATGTTATATAAGTCTAAAGAGCGACTGCTAAATGTTATCACGATGAGGAAAGCTGGTTCACAGGGATCTGAATAAACTGGGAAGTAGCCACCTCCCTGCTGTGAAAAGCTAAAGAACGCCGTGTAAAACCATCGAGAGAGCTCCAGACGGATAAAACCAACCAAGACAAAATAATATTTTTTAAAAAGCAGTCAGAAGTTCAAAGTCTGGGATGCGGGAGAAATGTAGCAGAGAGCATCTCTGCCGTGGCTGAGTTATGACGCTCCTGTTAAATCTATTCCCCACCCACCCACCCCCAAATCCTCCCTTAAGCCATCCTTCTTAGCTCTTGGAAGCCGAGGGAGCAGGGATCAGCTGTCAGTTGCCCCCACCCAACTTAAAGCTCTGGCTGTCCCCAGTGTGATTTATAGAACTCAGGTGCCAAAAATACCAAGTCTTTGTTCTCAAGTCTTCAGACTTCAAACCTTGTTTGGCAGGGGAGAACTTTGTGTGCAAAAATTATACCATTTGGATTTTTGCATTGATTTTGGAAGAGTGGTCTCAGGAGATGCCACGCCTCACCAAGAAACTAGGTTGTGGTTCCTTGTATGTATGTATGTATTTGCTGTGTTTCCCTGAAAATAAAACCTTGTCTTATATTTTTTTCTCCATCAAAACAGGTCTTATTTTCAGGGGATGCCATCCACTGACTAACCTCACTTGTGCACATCACCTCCAGCCTCCTTTTCGCTGTCAGGGGCCTTCAGGAACTTCTTCTTCTGCAACCGGCAAGGCTTTCCTGAAGGCTTCTGCAGATGATAACAGACCTCTGGATCGATCCGGAGCTTTCTTATCAGCTCCAGAGGCCTTCAGGAAAGCCTTGACAGCCTTGCCGGCTGCAGAAGAAATGGGCCGGTAAGGCAGGTGTCAGGGGGTGTGAGGCCTGGCTACAACTGTGCAAAGGGAAGTAGTAGGGCAGCTCTACAACACCCCGATCCCCACCCTAGCTTAATTTTTACCCGTCCACTCTGGAGTGGGCTGGATCTTAATTAGGGCTTATTTTGGGAGTAGGACTTATATTGGGTTCATGTGTAAAAAAAATCAAGCTAGGACTTACTTTCAGGGTAGGTTGTATTTTGGGGGAAATGGTGTATATATAACAGATAACAGATAATCAGAGTTGGAAGGGAGCTTGTGGGTCATCTAGTCCAACCCCCCGCCCAAACAGGAGATCCTACACCATTTCTGACAAACGGCAGTCCAGCCTCTTCTTGAAAGTCTCAAGTGATGGCGCTCCCACAACTTCCAAGGGCAACTTCTGTTCCATGGGTTGATTGTTCTCCCTGTCAGAAAGTTTCTCCTTATTTCCAGGTTGAAAAATCTCTCCATGTTCAGTTTCCATCCATTATTCCTTGTCTGGCCTACAGGCGCTTTAGAAAATAGCTTGACCCCCTTCCTCCTCTCTGTGGCAGCCCCTCAAATATTGGAAGATGCTCTCCTGTCTCCCCTGGTCCTTCTCTTTACTAGACTAGCCAGGCTCAGTTCCTGCAACTGTTCTTCATATGTTAAGCACTTCAGTGTCAATGTGTCATATTAAATAAAATATCGACTGACAAGTCAAGAACCAACCTAAAACTTGTTCTGTCAGGAAATTTCTCTTTAGTCCTAGGTTGGTTTCCATCTGTTGCTTCTTATCCTGCCTTCAGGAGCTTTGCGGAATATCCGATCTTCTAGACCAGGGGTGTCCAACCTTGGCAACTTTAAGACTTATGGACTTCAACTCCCAGAATTCTGGGAGTTGAAGTCCATAAGTCTTAAAGTCTTGGCAACTTTAAGTCTTGAAGTCCATAAGTCAACTTCAAGTCTTGAAGTCCACAAGTCTTAAAGTTGCCAAGGTTGGATACCCCTGTTCTAGACCAACCCACCCCTCAAGCAGGAGAATCTATCCCATTTCAGACAAATGGTTGTCGATTCTCCTCTTGAAAACCTCCAGGGATGGAGCACCCACAACTTCTGGTGGCAAGCCGTTCCACTGGTTAATCGTTCTCATTGCCAGGAAATGATTCTGTCAGGAGAAAAACAACGCAAAATAGAAAGAAACCTGCATTTTCACGACTCTCGTGGCTGATTTTTTTTAAAAAAATATTTCTAACACTCTGCATAATTAAGGCACGGAGACTTTGCAAACTCTTTTATGAATTCTGCCCACATCCATTTTTCTGCTTCCTGGTCCAGGAGCACCCAAAACCATCACGGGAGCTGGAAAGGAGGAGAACGTTGCAAGCTTTTCCAGAAGAATTTAATTTCCTTTCAACTCGAACTCCCAACTCCCAAATTAGCTATTCGCTCTTTTCCCTTTCACATGTTTTTCAGGGCCTGCAAACCTATAAAACCACTTTCTTGGCCCACAAGGCAAATTTGGGAAACATTTGCCGTTTTTCACTGTCCATGTGCTCAGCATGGGCCTTCTGGATTGATGGGTCAGAGAGTAGCTTGCTAAAACTAGCGGGAATTTTGGCGAGGATTTATTTAGACTAACACTTGTGATGTGTGCGTGTGTGTGTGTTTTAATATTATTAAGATCAATTGTCTACTAGGTTTTATGGCAAGGGAAGTCAGGATAGGCTATGACACTCTAAATCTCTAGCTTTATGGAAGATTGAATTCATCTCATCTTCGTCCACAGGACAATAAGAATCCTAGCTTAGAAGATTTGGGGCAAATTATGACGTTTATAATTATCGTTATTTGATTGCTTTGCATGCATCCTGCATTGGAGACAAATTCCTTACAACTCGACTTATTACAACAGTTTGTTTAAAAGTTCAAAGTTAAAACAGCACTGAAAAAAGTGAAATTTGACCGTTTTTCACACTTACGACCGTTGCAGCATCCCTACAGTTATATACCGTATTTCCCCATGTATAAGCACCCCCTTTGTATAAGCCACCTCCCCAATTTTTGGACTGTGAAGTTTTGAAAAAAATATTTTATTAGAGAAACAAGTTATGAAGAAAGAAAATTTACAAAGAAACAAAATTCGACGTCTAGATCTACAACTTCGGTCATGACGCCGAAAGCGGTGCGGGCGACGCTAGCAATCTACGCATCGGAACGAGAGTAGGAACGAAGCATTCAGGCCGATGCCTAGCGTATGCATTTCTATCGCGTACTCGCACTCGTAATCGTATCATCACGTACAATTTTTACAAAAAAGTATAGCATACTGCTGGAAAACCAGTTTATTCCTACTTTATTATTTTATGCATTTTTCACGTATAAAAAGTGTACCTGCTTTGTATATGCCACCCCCCTACTTTTTGGGCTTGAAAATTTTGGAAAAAAGGGGTGGCTTATACATGGGGAAATACGGTAATCAAAATTCAGACACTTACCGTGTTTCCCCAAAAATAAGACCGGGTCTTATATTAATTTTTGCTCCAAAAGACAGATTAGGACTTATTTTCTGGCTAGGACTTATTTTGGTGGAAATACCGCACCAAAATGCATCCATCTGGCTGACCATCTTAACAGGGGCTTATTTTGGGGGGTAGGGCTTATATTATGAGCATCCTGAAAAAAATCACACTAGGGCTTATTTTCCAGTTGGGTCTTATTTTGGGGGAATATGGTTCCAAATGCATCCGTATGGCTGACACTCTTAACTGGGCCTTATTTTCAGGGTAGGGCTTATATTATAAGTGTTATATATTTGCATACTTGTAATACTGCATTCTGATTGGTCCGCCAATGCTGCCTATTGATTGGTCCATCCTGAATACTTGAATACTGTTATGCGATTGGTCCGCCTGACGGCGGGAAGTTTAAGGAGCCGTCATTGGCTGCGAGCCGCGAGCAGCCGCTATAAAGGAGGCTGCCGCGGCTCCGGTTTTGTTGAAGTTACTGAGAACAAATAAAGAGTTGAATTCACACTGGTCTCGAGTCGGATCTTTTCCCACGACAGAATAAGCATCCTGAAAAATCATGCTAGGGCTTATTTTCCAGTTGAGTCTTATTTTCAGGCAAACACGGTAGCAACTGACTCACTTTTATGACGGTCGCAGTGTCCGGGGGGGTGTCATGTGATCCCCTTTTGCGACCTTCTGACAAGCAAAGTCAATGGGGAAGGCAGATTCACTTAATAATCAGGTTACTAACTTATCAACTGATTCATTTAACAACGGCGGCA